AAAAAAAAAAAAAGATTGGAATGTTGCCCCCATCTCCCTTTGTGCTGGGTTGCCATACTTGCTTTTATTTGTTTAGTGAAGAAGAAAAAAATCCAACAGGTAAAGAAGTTCTCTTAGCTTTTTCTTTTCAGAACTGATTACAGGTTGCCTCAACAAATGCTCAGCTGTAGCTCCGGTGACACCTCTGTGCTGTCGTGTTTCTTACTGAGGAATGCACCTTACACCTCTGGCACTGCCAACCAGACACCTGTGAGGATTCCTCAGAACAGATAGGAAGGTCAAACACTTCAGTTCTTTATGGAGTGGATCCATCTATGACTTTGGTGGCGATTTATTTTACCACTGAGAGTTTACACCTCTGCCCTTTACACCTATCAAGAAGTGCTACGCTTAGCAGTGTGTTCTCAAACACAAACTTACATGTTACACCCTGGTTTGCATTGTGCAAAAGCTTCCTCTGAGCTGACACAGACAGGAGCTTGAGCAGAGACATGCCCAGTTCTTAAATGTTTTTTTCTTAAGAAGAGAGAGGATTTTCAAAAAACACATACTTGTTGTGAACAGATACACAACCACTACAACTTTTACTGTATTAATTCCATGCCTGCCTGAAATCAGTATAAAAACATTCTCATAAATTCAAAATATATATTTTTTTACTTTACTTTGTACAATGTACTATTGTAGCACTGAAATTGTGGCTAAGAGTTTGGCAATGAGGCAAAGACCAGAACTGCAAGTCATTATGACTAGGATTGTGCTGTGGATTTCTGCTTTTGGGAGCGAGGTGGATGCTGCAGTTCTGAAGCAAATTCATTTTTCTGACTGTTGCATGTTTCATTCAAAGCGAGATGGAAACAAGAGGAAAAATAAACATAGTAATGGCAGCATAATGCTAACATATCATCTAATAATGCTAACAGTCAGTAAAAAAGATATTCAGGCTTTACTGAATTATAAGGGAAGTCACAGCAGAAGGGAGAGATGCATCATTAAATGAAATGTTCTTAAAAGCTTTAATAAAAAAACACCTTTCCCTTTGTTTTATTGTGGTGAATCAGTAATTTATTAGCAGTAGATGACTTTGCTTTTCTTTGTCAAACTGATAAGATTTTTCTGTCACTACCAGGGATTACAACTAGTCAGGATTTTCTGCATTTACTTCCTTATTTGTGCAGCAGCAGCATCAAGTAAAGGATGGTGTTTATTAGTTACCTGCCTACTGGAAATATATTTAATTCAATTAAAGAAATGACACACAAGACAAAATCAAGAATGTGAAAGTTTTGCTAAGGCTGAAAGCTTTTTCATGTAAGAAGTTTTTCAAACTTGTGTGGCTTTCTGATTACTCAGCTAATAGAGCACTTTGCAATTAAAATTTCACATATTGTACAATACTGAACCAGGAAAAGAGCTTTACACAAACACTGTGCTGTTAACAAGCTGTCTAACAATCTAGTTGGGGGATAAGGTGAGTGTTCCTCCCTTACACCTCACACCACAAAGCAGGACCTTCTGGAGACGAAACAGTTCTGGGCAAAAGGCCCTCAAGCCCACAGTCACTACCAGTCCTGTACCAGAACAGATTGCTCTCAGGCCAAATACCACCCAAATGAGGAAAAGGATAGAAAGTGGCCTGAAAACCCAAGGGTGCTGGAGAACAGCTGTGACCATGAAGTGGGATGCAGTTGGCTCTGCCTTGTGACTGCATGATTCAACTTGTGTTCCCTCAGGCAATGCTGACAGGCTTGCTTCAGTGCTCCGGTCCCCATGGTCTGTTTTTGGTGCTGGATCCTAATGACTTGTCCTCCAGAGCCTGTAGCTCCTCAGTTTACCACGATTTGGTAACAGCGATGTCTGTGCAGCATTCCCACTCACATCAACGGGGAATTCTGCTTTAAAAATCAATTGCTGTGATAAAAGTCTCAAGTTCAAGACCTATCAGCTCCTGCCCCTGCTTCAGCAGCACTTGGGGTCAGTGAAGTCAGCAAGTCTGGCTGAGTGAGGGCGAAGGGAGTTTGAACTTCAAAGAAATTATGTTTTGTAATGACTCAAAAAATACATGAATGGAAAAAAATGTTTCACAGATATTGCCTGGACTGGCACTATCACAGTCTGCAGGGTTATAGGAATCACAATGATTTATAGTGCTTAGGGTTCAGACCTGCCAGACCACTTCAAGTTTGGAACATGAACAAGTTATTTTGCCATTTCCTTGCAAGGAAGCAACCAGGTGAATTGAATTTCACTGACAGAACAGCCCTTACTCAAAACGAGATATTTTGATAGAAGTGGGTAAGGAAGTATCTCCCATACTATTATTAGCAGACATGGCCTTTATTTTTTCTGCAGCAGCATAATTAAGAGAGAGCTTTCAGTGGAATGGACCCTCCCTACCAATATAATGTTAATATGTTAAAAATCAAAAGAAAAACTGCAAAGGTTTTTATGTGAGTCTTTAGGCATGCTTATGTCTATGACCCAAATTTCTGCTTTATTTTTTTAAAAAATGGAAAGACTATTTTTAAGTATTTCTGTTATTTATGCACATACTGAAAATATACTTCTTGAGAAGTTTTCAGTCTATGCATTGTTACTGCTACCAGTAAGGATCCTCCATTTTTACCTCCAATGGTGCATTTATTACAATCCCACCATCATAATAAAGCAAAGTAGAAGAGGGAGGAGGGAGAAGAAAGACAAACATTACAAGCAGGGCCTTTTCTGCCTAATTTCTGAGTTTAAATGACCAGACTAATTATATTCTAATCCACTCATTTGACATGTGTACCTTTCAGGAACACAATGCAAGTGCATCATCAAATTGTAGAAATAGTAGAAATAAAGTAGGCCAAAAAAAACGTTAAATTTGTCTGATGTGTTTGTTTTTATGGGCGAGACAGAAAAAGATTTGGCAAGAATAAAATATGTGCCAGTAAGTGAAAGAAGAAAGGAGTCTCAGTAGAAAATAGGGAGGAGGGTGTGAGAGACAGCAAGCAATACCAGAGTCTAATAATACTCTAGATCAAATGTTTCAAGTTGAAGAGAGAGATTTTTCTGCCGCTTGACAGCTGGTGAAACTGGAAGCACATTTACCTTAGTTTTCACACCCATTCACATTTATAAACCTTATGGAGACAAGACCACCAAAGTGACTTGCTTTACACCTTAAAAATGTTGCATATGAAGCCTAAGTTATTCATCCAGAGCACCTTTCAGGGAGTGTTACATACGGTCAAACGCTGGCCAAGAGCCAGGGAGGGCAGGGGCTCACCCGCAAGCCCAGCACCAAGGCAGCGCTGTGGGGGGAGGCCCAGCCTGGCCCCTCAGGCAGTGGGCTAAACCTTGGCAGTCCTAAAATGAAAACCAAACCCAAACCAAACCCTTTGTTGTGCTCCCATTGCTAACAGATGAGGGTTTATTAAAATTAATTTTCAAACCTTTGCTGGCTGGTATCCTGAATCCTGGCCTGCTGGCCTGTATCCTGAAGCCAAGCTCGCTCTCTGGCTCTCACTTGCTAACGCAGGTCCCAGCGAGGGCTCTGCTCCCTTCCCTGTCACAGCTCTCTCACACCACCCTCATCCTCCCACAGGTGCAGTGGGTGACACTGTGGGACAGCTTCTCACTGCTAAGGGGCAAATTTGTCACAGGCCTGGGCTCCCTGTGCTGCGTGAGGGGCCCTCACAAGTCCTGGGTGAGCCCTGAGGAAGGGCAGCACCTCCCCAGTAACAGCGCTGGCCAAAACACACACAACAAGAGTATCTAAAGGTAAAAGCTGATTAAACCAAACCCCCTTATTCATCAGGTCAAGGTACAGCACAAGCAAGGCTGGTGCAGCCTGGGTGATCCCACAGCCTGGGTGATCTTTGCTCAGGGCGAGGCGTGCAGAAGGTGCCGTGGATGGGGAGTCAGACGCCCAGCTGAGGGCTCTGCAGGGTGCCAAGAGTGTGATGGCTGTTTTAGGATGGACAGAGCTTTTGGCAAACAAGCTGCCTGTTCACAGCAGTACCTGAAAGTCAACACTCCCCTCGTCCCACAGCAGTGCCTGAGGCCAGGTCATTGCTAACGCTTTTATTTCCATTTCAGTGACAGTTTCAGGCCATCTCGTTACCCATGTGCTCCTGCACAGCAAGGATGTGCTGTACAGCAAAGACTTCACACGGCAAACTAAAGCTGTGCTGAGCAGCGTGGCCGTGTTTGTTTAATCTGAAAGCTTTTCTGGGAGATGTCCAACACCAAATATTGGCCAGATCCAGTGAATCGTTCCCATTACTCTTGTTTGCTTTTCACAGCTAGACCTGGGGACAGCCCCCCTCTGCACTGAGACCGGCGGCAACTCCAGGATGACCCATTTCCTTTCACAATTGCACCAGGCCCCTCTGTAAGTTACTATTTTCTACAGAAGCACCAGTGAAGTAACCAGACAGTACAGCGCTACAGCTCTCTGGTAACCACATCACCACAAGAGCTGCAGCTCTAAGGCCTTCAATAACTACTGTAATAACAAAAATTAGTAACTCATTGCATATCCACTGCAGAAAGCAACACTTCTGCTCTTCCAGAGAGGTATTTACAAATAGACTACTTAAAAAAAGTTAGAAAAATGAGACCATAGATTCTAATGATGCATTTCTAATGGTGATTGGAACTATTAAAAACATTTCTAATGGTTTCTAATCTTTATCTGAAACTCTAATGAGCCGGTGAGCATTTTAATTAAACTTTGTAATTAATATGAAAGTTGGAGGTGATACAGTTCCTTGAAAAAATACTAGAATTGGTGAGCAAAGATAGCCATTGTTAAAAAAAAAAAACAAAACAAAATACTCAAACCAAAACAAAGAACAGAATGTGGAGCGGGAGCCAAAATAGAGAGAAGGAAAAAAGTTGTAAATTATTTCAATTGCCTCTAAATTTTCCATAGAATAAAGTCATGGATTTGCTTAACACAGGACAGGGAAGTTCAGCCAACTGAACCTTTACTATTTGTAGAACAAGGAAAGAATTTGTATATTGTTGTATATATTTACACTGAGTAGTTGAGCTC